CGGCTTTGCGCAGCGGTACGGCGCTCGCGAAGCCTAGGCCCGTCGCAGTTGTCATTTTGGGCATCTCGCCGTCGTGGATATGCGTGTCGGGATTATGGTCGTGGTCGTGGATCCGGGTTGCGCGCGCGAGGGAGTCTTGGAGGCGCTGGGCTACGGCTGCGTCGCGGGACAGGTCTTCCTGGACTTGTTGCGCGACGACAGCGTCGTGCCAGTTTGAAGCGAATTCGTCGATTTCGCTGGTTTGCATTAGAGGTAGCCCTTGGTCTTTTTCTATTTCGAGGTTTGAGGGATGTTTGGCTCCTAAGAGTGCTGGGAATACTGCGTTGGAAGGAGGGCGTGGCGGGGAGAATTGCGGGAATTGGGATGGTGGTGGGGGTGAGTATTCATTAGCATGGGATGGTGGTGAAGTGTTCTGTATACTCTTGTTGGGGACGCTCTCGTTGTGGAGCTTCTCGAAAGACGAGTTCTGAGGAGGCTTTGGGGTAGGGTCCTCGAAGGGGTGGGAGAGCGAGCGTGGGCTGTGGGTAGAATCGGCATCGTCAACATCGACGTTGACTAGATCGGCTATATCCCCACCTGCTCCGTGGTAAGCAGTGTCGGTATTGGGGAACAAGGAGCGTTGGCTCGGTGAATTGTAGGCCATTTCCGAGCGTCCAGGGAACATGGATTTGTTGGACGGGTCGTATGCTGTTTGGCTAGTCTCAGGGAAAATGGAGCGTTGGCTTTGTGCATTCCCTGGATTTCCAGTCATGGGAGAGACCCAGTTCTCTGGGCTGTTGGGCCTGATAGGTTGGAAAGGCTGAGAATTAAAAGAATGTCCATTTATTGGTGCAGGGGGGCCACCTCTTGGTCTACTATAAAACACGTCAGTCTTTGAAAGATAAGAGTTCGGGAGTAACGCACGCCATGTATGAAGTTACACGCTTCTGGGCGTTGCGATTTCTACGTCGGAAGAACCAAAATGCAAATGCTGCGATCAAAGCTACTCCTGCTGCCGCTGCCACAGAACCACCTGCTATGGCCGCTGTGTTTGACTTTGCTACCGTAGCAGGCGTAGAAGACGCGGAGCTCACTGGAGCGACTTTACCCAATGCTGCTGCGCTGGCAGAGCTAGAGGTTCCTGAAGCTGCTGTCTGGGTTGATGACCCCCCGGTGGTGGATGGATTCGCAGGCATAGGACTGAATGAAACTCCAGTGTAGACAAGTTGTAATCGCATATCCGATGGCTGATTTGAGTAAGAAGTTACCAAAGAAGCCCCCTGAGTCGCATCTCCACAAGCCCATTGCATGTAGTTTCCTGGGTATGTGTTTTGATAACAAGCTGAAGATGAAGAGCTTCCAGACATGTTAGCACTGCTTTTCCATGCCAAGCATACTTGCACTTACCAAGTCAGAATCCCATTATTGACAATCGACACACTCGGGTTCCATCCTTGCATGTTCTGGTCCTGACAAGTTGTATAGACTCCTTGCGTACACGGCCCGTCGGTCGTACAACATCCTACAAGTGCATGAGCGGTATCATGGATACAACTCGATCCAGCACCGCATGTTACTGCTTTTGACTGATCTCCTCCAATCCAACCGCAAACATCCACGCCTATCGCGTCTCTCTTGAACAACTTTGCCGGCTCGTCTGGTATTCCGGTAGGTCGCGGCGTCCACGCATGAGGGACATATGTAGCTGTCTGCTCTGCTTCCGCCCATGGAAACGCACTCGTCCCACCAAACGCAACCGCAAAAAGAAGGATCATTGACGAAGAAGGCATGGCGAAAAAAGTCGGTCGCGCCATTGAGCCAGACACCGATTAATTAATTACTCGACGACACGAAACGAGGGTACCGAAAGAAAGAACGTATGACAACAGAAGCGTACCAAAGACATAAGGAAGATGGGCAGATGCAACTATTATTAAAGAGCTCGCTCTCGCCGCACGCTCGATCAACTAACTGTTGTACAGTACCGTGCCGTAGAGGCTGTGGCAGGATGCAGTTAGCTGTACTAATTGCATTCCCAACTAGAGCACACAACTTAATTTCTCAAAGCAGGAAAGGCACACTTGAAGGCTTTCCGATTGGTCGAATCGAAGAAGGATCGCAGTGACCAGGAGCAGGTAGCCACTCAGCACTCAGCATGCATGCCTCGTAGGGTTAGAGTGCTGCCGTTATCTTGGGGGCCTACTGTAAGCCATGGGGTTTTGGTGGGGAGGCTGAGCCTCTTTTCTACATGAATAGGAAATGCTGCATATCTGATTCTGCATCGCGATCTCTTGATCCAGGACTTCTGGAATATGAAAAAGAATGATTTGTGTTTCTTACAAAACACCATGGCCTAGGAAGAAGAGGCTGCATTCGAGTAAACCGTACGAAGGAGTCTGGTAGTGGAGTTGAGCGCAGATTTTGGCCATCCTTCGCGTGTATTAGTAGTAGCGGCCGCTAAAATTGGCCAGAGAATTAGGTACTCGTAGTGCCCCCCACCAGGCCTATTTTTACCCTCACACGGGCCTCTCGGGCCAGTCTACAGGGACTTCGGATCTCTTTCACCAAATTGGCCAATCCTGTAACTCATAAATTTACGAAGTGGTAATACTGTACATTGCGAGATTTACGTTTTAGACTTTCAGATCAGAATTGAATACACGTGATATCTAATTTGCGTTTTAGAACTGAAGACACGTTGAATAAAGCTTGCTGATTTCAGATTTGGAGTTGTTGAAATAAGGATATAAATGGCTTGTTAGTAACGGTTGGCGGTGTCTTGTTTTGGAACTGCCCTGCTATATGTACGCCGTACCCGCGGGCCGTGAGAGGCGTGGGGCGTTCACACTCTGACCTGTGCCATGAATCAGGGCATTCGCTCGCAGCTTAATTAACAAATCGCGGCTCAAGCCACCATCGTGTGTTGGCACTTACACTGTACGGAGTATCAGTGTATGGGTACTGATTCTGTCTGAGCCTCTGAGCTCTGAGCTCTCCTCATTTTCTTATGCATGACACATGAGTGGAACTCGAAATCTCACAACTCTTTTTGAACCGGTAGTTAGCTTTCTTCCTCTTCTCTTCGGCTTCTCCATCTCCATATAATGAATGGTAAGACCTTTTATATAAAAGCTTCCAGAACATCATGACCAGGGGACTTACCCGGATCGCCTCCTCGCCTATCCCTCGCTTTCCTCCGATGTCCATCATTCCTTCATTCGGACCCTTGCATGCTCACCCCACGTGCAGTCACCAGTTTCTATTTTAGCAGCGACGATGTGGGGCGCGCAAATCCTTCGATGGGATATAAATAGGATTTCATATATATTCAGACCTGTGCCGTGTCAACTTGTACGGACTTGTAGAACGTGACTAGTCAAGCCGGAGAATTAAGTAAGAAATTCATCGTCTTGATCATATGCGTGCATTCACCAACACGAAAGCACGCACAAACCAATGCGAGAGGCAAGTGCATCTCGATGGGAGAAGATTCCCTTTCCCGATGAATCGACAAGTCAGCCAGAGGCCTGACAAGTCGGAAGCGCTGTCGTAAATGCTGGTTTCTATTGTACTATAGGGGATATATATATATATATATGATGAATGATATGCAGACCATATCAGATCAGATGCAGGTATTTACTCGAAGGGCATGGTGTGCGCTCGCTCCTTCTTCTTTTTATATAAGAGGGTAATTTTTACATCACATTACATCACATTGAAATCAAATCACATCACATCACATAGTGTCCTCTAGACGCCGACTCCTCACTCGTTGCCAGCTCTCCTTTTCCTCTACGCCGCCATCTTTCTCGAGACCCATGCCCCGTTCTACCCATTCCTGGCTACCCATCTCAGCCAGACGGCTCAGAGCTCGCGCAAACTGGAAGCGCTCTTCGTCGCCACTGAACATGTTACTACTCTTCAGCATCTCCATGTTCATGCCTAGATCATCCATCATCATCCTCAATGTGTCGTCCAAGTCGGCGCCTTCTTCGGTTTGCCCCTTTTTGTCTTCGCTATCTTGTTGGACCTTGGCCTTTATCTCTTCCCGTGAGAGGAAGAGCTGTGTTAGGGGCACGGCTGTGGTGAGGACTAGTTTAGCGCGCGCCTCATATACGGCGTCGATGAAATAAATAAAACGCCGCGCTAAATCTCGTGAGTTGTGTGTCATTCCGGGAACGTTGGTAACGATGAATGCATCGTAAGCGCGGGTCAACTCGATATAATCTGCCGCGCCGGTAGCTCGTCCAATCAATTCGTCGAATGTGAACATGGCAGCTTTCCCGCTGACTTTGGGGACATGTATCTCCCTTCCCCATACTGTTTGCGTCTCGGATCGAGGCCCGTCTTGTTGTGGATCTCCTAAAAAGTGGAACCATTTCTCAGCGTGTGTCGTTGCATGCTTGTCTAATGGAGCGTGATATACGCCAGAGGGTGGGCGGGGGATTTTTCGGTAATCGGTAGGTGAGTCGAGGTTTATAACATGGAGTCGATTTTTGAGGAGGCTGATACATGGGAGGAAGGATTCTCTTTGAATACCATTGAGATAGAGCTTGTCCGGGTGTCGATTAGACGTGGTTACTAGAACTACGCCATGGGACATTAAGGCTTCGAGGAGCCTAAACGTATTGTCAGTATGCTTGTAGCACCTACGGGAGAATTCATACCGTCTAAGAATCATAGCATCTGCTACATCCGTACATTGGAATTCGTCAAAGCAGAGAACATTCCCCTGCTCTGCGATATCTGCCGCTATGAATGGCACGCCATCAATATCATTTCCATGCTCCAATTTCATCTTGTGCAGCCGCTTGTGAACATCTTGCATGAAGTTATGGAAGTGTATTCTCGTCTTCGACGCGACACTGCTCGGAAGGGTTTCATAGAACATGTCCATCAACATGGTCTTCCCGCTCCCCACATCGCCGTACAAATATAAGCCTCGGGGCAAATTCTCTGGGATATCTTGCAGTTTCTTCTCCTTTCGTGCACCTCCGAACATACGTCCAAATACCGATACGTGCTCCGGCTTGAGACTTTCGAGGGTGGGGTGGACGATTGCAGGCGCGGTGTAATTTCTGAGTTCATCGTGGAGATTTTGCAGATTCTCTATGATGCCTAAAATCCCATGAGCGTTTGCGGTTCTCTCAAGGACATCTTTTCTCACCTCTTTGGTGTTTGTCGTCCCTTAATCGGCCAGATTTAACACGTTTGTTGTATTCCTGCATAGGCCCTTGATCATCGGTAGCTGCGGCATATTCGTGAGCAGAGCTCCTTAGAAGTGTTAGGGATACATACCATCTTGTACAGTAGCCAAGCTCCTCCTCTGTCCAGCAATGAACGCCGCTGGGAGGGCTATCTGGGGTCCTCGTGAGCCGGCAATCAAAGGTTCTGAAGCAAAGCTTCGCGCTGCCACCGCAGGCCTTCCCAAGACTCTGCTCCTACCGCCAGTTTCCTGGCGAGATTGTATGCATATCCCTCGCGCTCCAATCCATCTCCTATTCGCATTCGAGGAACTCTGCTGAAGGGACCGTCGGAGATTGGCGGTAGCGGTGGTAGAAGCTCGAAGCTTCATAGCTAAGGATAGAAGATTCTTTAAGAAGCAAAAGTTCGTCTCATCTATGGGCGCATAATGTACACAAAAAGATCTATAGGGAACGTGCTCGCGGAGGCTCTAATAATAATACTGGTCGTTGTGGAGAAAACAGGCCATGATGTGAAGTTGTACTCGAGTAGTGGAGAAGCGGAACATGTCGGCGATAAAAATGCCGAGGCGGGATGCTCCCGAAGCATAACAAAATCCAACGTATATGTACGGAGTATATGGTACTTCAAGAGCCTCAACCGAAAAGCTAAGAGGATCTAATAACCTTAAAAAGTGAGTTCCGATCTTGTCGCGAACTCATGGAAGATTCTTGCAGCAGTAGTGACAAGGGATAATCCTTTATTTGTTCCCCACCTCGGCTAGCAAGAAATGACTGACAGAGTTCAGAGAACATTATATCAAAACTAACAGAAATTTCCTTTGGTCAAAAGATTATTTTCTATATACTAGTTCTTTTAGATTATAAGATAGATTGTTGCCAGGGCTAGTGTTCACTTTCTCCTCTGCCGCGTAACACAGATTAACGCGCTGACACCTATTCCTGTAGCCTTCTTTTACTTCCACTAAGATAAGACAAGGAGCTGGCAATCCACGATTAATTCCTCGTAGCTTGCATTCCTAGGTAGGGCCACGTGGGACCTGGTTATAAGGGATGCCGGTACTGTATCATAAATATAAGGTAGACCCAATTTCAATATATATATATACAAACTTCAAGTGTCCTTACACCTGAGGCTAACAAAGGTCTTTGCAAAGCAGCTATTTAGTACTACTGTATACAACAATTGTCTATGCATGCCATATAGATAGAGGGGAGAAAACATTGGAGCCACCCCCTACAGGCAAATCATCTATTACTCCGTAATTACTAGGTAGATTCTACTCCGTACCATATACGTCGTACAACAGCCGTTTTTACTACATTTAAGCGCTCACGGACCAGGAACTTCGTTCGATGTATTCCCCCCCCCCCCATCTCATGCATCGGCGATATAAAAATCCCCATTATTACGTCCAGCCAATTCCTCAGCTTGGGTATGCAGATCTTCCAGGAAACAAGGATACCATATGGTCACCTGATCCTAAAAACACCTACCGGAGCTTTGAATGGAATTCTTAAGTGTGCTGCAAACGAAAACATATTTCAATCAAGTCTTTATCATTCTCGCAAGTTTTCTCGACCTCCGTCCTACGGATTATTCTACTATTCGACTTTTGATTGGTACAGAAGACGAGAAGGATTTTCTCCGTTGAGTCTGTGCTGCGGTACAGCATCCCTAGCTGTGCCGCTGCGCAGTCCTTAAAACTCTAATTTGAGAACGTGCGTTGGGACTGTCTCCGCTTTTCATGTAGATCTTGTGGCCTGTTACTACTTCGTATACTCCGTAGTTATGGGCAGTGTTACAGCAATATATGCATGCGAAATCCTATGGCAGGCTAAACTAAGCCCTTTTCAAATAGAGCGAAATCGGTGAGATAGGATAGGCCAGCTGCGATGATAACTCCAGTCTTTTATACTTATCACTCAGTCACTTATACTTTTAAGGTTTTCTAAACCTGCCTTTCTATAAATAGAACATGTCAAAAACGCAAATTTTAAGATATTAAAATTCCAAAGAGGCTGCTTTATTTTACTTAAAACATCAAGTGTAAATAGAAGCAAAATATAATGCTAGCTTATATAGCAGAAGACATTATTAGCCCAGCGGCAATAAGTTCCCGAGCCAGAACGCCCCACCAAGGCTTCCGAGAGAGCCACTCAAGTGGCTGGAGTAACACCAACTTCGCCAGGTACCACGGATGGTAAGCTAAAAACCTGGATACCGTGTTTCAAGTTGCTCAGCTGTAGCAGTCTGTACGGAATAGGAGAGAACTAAGTAGTCTCTCTCCATGATGTGACCAGAGCTGTCTGCCCGTACGGCGTGCTGCCAGCGCGGCTTGCTTTGTCGTTCATTAATTTTCTTGGATTTCGCTTTCTATCTTTGATTTCATGGTATACAGTCATGATACTGGAATTACTTTCATAGCATCCATATCAATTCTCGCTTCCGCCCCTCGAGCCTGTTACTAGAATCATGGATCACTCATATTATTCTCCCGATAACAAGGCTGTTACTGAAGTCATGGATCATTCACGTTATCCAGATAGCGAGTGTCTACAGGTGGCAGAAGCAGATCCTGAGAGGCCACTGCCCGCCCTACCAGAGGTTGCTGCGTCACTGGAGAAAGAAAGTTCTAATACGAATGGACACGACGACGAGAAAGAATTGACCCCAGGAATAGTTGGATGGTTGTCTCGCTCCAGTCGAGCGTCAGCGTCGACAACAAAGACCTCGATTTCGACACCGGCACAGCGACCAAATAGAGAAGTGAGGATTTGTGGTTTACGGAGACGAATTTTCTGGATAATGATAGGCATCTCGTGTCTACTCGTCATTACTACTGCTCTTGCAACTGGAATTGGTATTCTATCAGCAAAACTATCTAATCGCAATTCGTAAGTAGTTCAAGCATTCATTTCTCTGCATCAATTCTAACCCCTCTTCAGCAGCGCCGCGTCTTCGACTCGGGTTCCTGCTTCGGATGTATCTTCACCGGCAACATCCACCTCGTCGAAAGCCTCCTGGCAAACGACGCTATACCAGCAATCCATATCAACCATCTCAGCCTCAGCCTCAGCCTCGGCGTCAGCTTCATCCTTATCCTCAACACCTTGCAACGCCACGAGCTCTATGTCGGCTTGCGATCAAGGCGATTGTTCTGGTATGAATGACCAGGATAGCAAGTATGGGAAGTGTACTGCGGGGAGATATAATGGCTGTGCTTGTTTGAGTCTTTGTGGGCCGATACTAGGTCCTTGTAATAACTGTGGTGGTGTGAGTGGAACATGTCAAGATGCTCCTTTTAAAGGGTGTGGTTGTACTTATTAAGGATTACGTTTTATGTTTGATGGGGTTATGGGGCATAATGGGATTCTTCAACAAAGTTTTTGCGGGGTTCTCGGCTGATCAATACATTATTCATGGTCCACTGTTTTGCTCAGTTTTCCACTGCGGTACTTTTCTTTCGAAATGGTCCGGTCCCCCATTATTTACATGATTATTTGGCTCTTTCAGCCAACTTCCTTAGTTTAACCCGCCTTCTAGGCGAGTATCATTATCGTCATTTCCATTCTTCGATTTCTCTCTGTATTCCTCCAGGATTCCTCGTCCTCGGTCGTTAATCCCGGTCATCGTCGGTTGCGTCCCTGATGGCGGATTTTCCACCATATGCGACCAGCGTCCTACATCGCACAACCTCGAGCGCACAGCAATCGCCGGTCTGCACCTCGCTTCATAGAAGTACTCATGTTTATTGGTCTATTTCACACATTGTTCGCATCTAAGCTTCGTTCTAGGGAAGTTGATCTGAGTTAGAAGTTAGAACCTCTTTTACTTGCTGGGCTTCTGGTCTTCCCCATATAGTTATATACATGGCTACACCTTATTACATACTATAATATCAAGAAGAGGAGATCTAGTTTGGACCCGGAGCACAGAGCACATTCAACAATTTCCCTCCAGAGCACAGGTGGCCACTTCGCAGAGCGGAAGGCCAGGTCGTCCCTCTGTAACCTATGTCTTCACAGCAATTGATAAGCCGAAAACATTGATTTCCATATTGATACGTCGAATTTGATTGCAAGGGGACTGTTGAGCAGCTTCATGAGTGAAATCCCGAGTGGGGCATTGTTCGGGATATTACATTGCTGCAATGATCGAGGAAAGTACTCGTTAAGGTTTGATATCTATAAAGTTGTGGAGAAAAGGACAAACTGTCCAGTAGAGAGGCAGAAACTCGGCTTGTTGATACGAGTTGGGAAGAAAGAACTTGAAGATATTCAGACGAACATTAGCAGATAGAAGGTGCTACGCATCAATTAGCAGGAGCTCTCAATCCTGTTATATGATTGCCACTTGCAGGAAATGTATATTCCAGGTATTTTTCCATTGCCTGTAAAGCAGTCTCTATATCTCTAGCTGTATCTTGAGAATTTCAATCTCTTTTTTTTACCGGGACAAGTCCGTTTGGATTCGAAGCGTTGCAGTATCACGCGTTCGCCGTTCAAAAAATTCCACAGAATACGGAGTAATTGCGATATTTTGATCTGATGCAAAAGATCTACAGGTTTCACATGCGTTTTAATGACCCTGGATCTCATTACAGTATTGTGTCATCGCCAAACCCTTAGTACGTTTGGTCCTTTGGGCCGAATTCTGATAATCTGTATTTGGGTAGAAACCTCGGGTTACCTAACGCGGGATAGTGTACTCTCTCGCCCTCTCCTTAAATGTTAAATTGGGGAAACTCTCCAAAGCACGTGGAATCGCAATTGACTGCATGGCTACACTCATATGGAGGTACCTGGGTAGGTACCTAGATCCCGTAAAACTGACCTGACTCACACGGCGACGGTACGTTGCGGTGCTTGTCTTGTTAAGGTCCCACTAAGCCCTAGCCGCAGTGATATCATAGGCTTATCTCCGTAGTCCCTTTTGGTTTACGGTGGGGAAGGGAATGTTACAATTTACTTCGTAAATATTTCCGGAGTATTACGGAGTGCAGTACGCTGGGGAAACCCACATATTTAACATTTCCGGAGTAATACGGAGTGCAGTACGGAGGGGTGGAGTAGTCTAGATCGTGATGCAATACCTTGGCTTACTCAATATTTTACTAAGCAATCAGGTCATCGGACTTAAGATCAAGTGCTCCTTCGAATCGTTCGGACTTGGCCCAAATAATGGTATACAAGAAGACTAAAATGCGTAGAAGCTTGTGGTATTACCCGATTTAGCGGTGATATGCACTGGGGTTGCCCATGCAGTCCTTCTATAGAGTGTCCACTCCTCCAGGGGAACGATTAGGTGGATTTTTTTATTTGATCACAAGCATGGCAAAATGATGGATGGCACTGAACAAGATAAAAGTCTTCCCGGCTCCACGATCCACAATGACATATTAGAATTACGAACATATCCTACAAGAATGGAAAATCTCGGGAAGCTCGGAGGGCTCGGATTTGGTATGAGTATAAATATAAATATTTTATAAATTCCTGTATGGTCCCCTGAAAACACTAAGTTTCTGAACTAGAATAGTATACCCCGCAAACAAACAAACAAAACAATCTCTCAGTATTATATATCTTTCTCTAGTAAATTGGATATAATATACTGACTATTGCATAGTACTAAAGTAGTAATCATGGCACGTAACTACCACTCCCTCAGTCCTGCAACAGGAAAACTGCACAAGGAGTTCCCAGAAATTTCCAACGAAGAAGCCCTCCATGCTCTTGACACCGCACACAACTGCTACGAGCAAGATTGGCGGTTTCGCCCCGTGTCAGAGCGAGCAAGCATCGTAGCCGGTGCAGCCAAGCTCATGCGCGCGCAAATCGACTCGCTGGCCAGCCTAGCCACACTCGAAATGGGAAAGTTGATCGGCTCGTCAAAGGATGAGATCGAGCTGTCTGCCTCAATTCTAGAATACTACGCCGAGAATGCAGCCGACTTCCTCAAGCCAACACCCATCCCTGAACACCCAGGAGCGGTCATGCACACACAGCCTACCGGCGTCATCTTGGCTATCGAGCCGTGGAATTTCCCCTACTATCAGCTTGCGCGTGTGGCCGGGCCGCAGATCATGGCAGGGAATGTAGTAATTGTGAAAGATGCGCGCAATATACCACAGTGCACCGAGGCCTTTGCCCGCCTCTTCAGAGATGCGGGCGCACCTGAAGGGGTCTACACCAACCTTCTCTGTAGCTTCGATGCTGTCAACACCTTTATTGACGACTTCCGAGTTCGTGGCATCACATTGACGGGGAGCGAGGAATCTGGCGCAGAGGTCGCTGAGCGGGCAGGTCGGAACCTGAAGAAGGTTGTTCTTGAACTTGGTGGCAGCGACCCATTCATCGTGCTCGAAGATGCGGATCTAGAAAAGGCTGTGGCCGACGGCGTTTCAGGTCGATTATCGGTCATGGGACAAGAGTGTACAGCATCCAAGCGCTTTATCATTGTTGGCAAGGAACGTGGCCATCTCTTCCAGCAAGGTATGGAGAAGGCTTTCAGTGCGCTCAAGCTCGGCGACCCAGCTGACAGTGCAACGTCTCTGGGTCCGCTGTCCTCGGAAAAAGCCGTGACGGGTCTCCTTAAACAGATTGAGACTGCGAAGGAACATGGCGCGAAAGTCGTTGCTGGGGGGAAGCGCATTGATCGTCCTGGCTTCTACATGGAGCCTACAATCGTCACTAACATAACGCCATCAAACCCTCTGTTCCATGAAGAGACATTTGGCCCTGTAGTCTCTCTGTATATCGTCTCCACCGAAGAAGAGGCCATCAAAATTGCCAACGCGACAAAGTTTGGGCTAGGCGCCTCCGTTTACTGCAGAAACGAAACACATGCACAGGAAGTGGCCCTGAAGATTGATAGCGGAATGGTATATATTAACTCACCAGCGCATGAAAACTTTGCCCCCGAGTTGCCATTTGGAGGGGTCAAGAACTCGGGATTTGGGCGTGAGCTAGGAGAGCTAGGGTTTGGCGAGTTTGTAAATCGGAAATTAGTTACAAGTTCACAATGAGGTATCTTAGGATAGAATAGATAATAGGGTCATATTAAAGTTAACTCAGGCCCGATCACTTCTATTGCATTTTGGTTGCTGTAGACTTGTTCACTGATGGGATGCAGATCTAGAAATTGGATTTGCAGTAAAGAGGTTATGCCTCAGCGCTTAGTCATCAATTCTATGTCACATGACTACAGGGTCCTAGTCCTATTATCTTGACCGTGATAAGTCTAAAAGTAAGTAGCTCCGAGGCAGGTAGACAGTTGATGAGTTTACTTGTAAATCTCTACAACGTGCACTAGCATTTTAGCTTAAGAAATGTATCGTTGCGAGGTTGATTATTGTTTGTTTTGCGGCACAAGATGATCAGCTTGCCACCCAGCTTCCACCTAGCTGTTGGTTTTCACGTACGAAAGTAAGCTGTTACGTTGCGATATGCTGGCTGGCTTTGCGGGTATCCAGCTACATTTTGCATGCTTGATATTTAGCTACCATCTTGATTTTCTTCATCTGCATGCTCCATATAACTAATAGGATATGATGAGGCTGCCCGACTAGTCCGTGGATGCAAAGGCTCAGAAAGCGCTGTCTCTTCGAACGTCGTTGCGATGAGTCCTAACATCTTTGATTGCATTATTTGCGGGTTTCCAATCTATAATTACTTGGCGAGATCAGGCCCTGAGTACTGGCTGAGGGAGTTTCGGGTAAGTGAGTATACAGCAAGTAATTTGGAAGACTTTCTGCTGCTAAAGTAATCAGTCTATTCTGACCCATCAGGGACATTCATCTTTGGTGTTGGTTGTCAGGAGGATCCTGCGGCAAGTACGTGGATCGCACCGTCTGATCCCAATATGCGATGGGACGACGACGATTCTCATTTTCCGGCGTGGGATGAGCTCCCAGTCATGCGATTATGTCCCGTTAATGGCCGCCATGGTTTCATACTTCATGACGCGAGTTGTCACTTTCTGCAGAGAGCCTTCCAGCCTGGCGAAATTCCTCTTGAGCGGTTGCTCGAGGTCTGCAAATCATTGCCATTCCCGCTTCGAGGAAATGGCGTCTCTTGGGGCCATGATTACGGAGGTCTCCACTTCTGCGACAATCTAAACTACTATCCTGGGGATGATCATCTTTTAGAGGAATTTCACAATGCTAAACTGCTTTTATACGCAAAGAGCAACCAGTACGACGTTCCGGAGATCCCTATATTACTTGCGAAACGTCTAGAGCATCCAATAGAATTGCCACTCAATACACAACTCAATGGCTGTTTTTCAAATCTTCCTTGGGAGATTCTTGAGGCTATAGCTGTCAAGTTGCCTACTAATGATGCTCTGGGTCTGCGCTGCGTTTCAGAAGCTTTTCTGCCACTCTTGTCTAGTGCCACCTTGATGACCGATGTTTTGTATTTGAGACGCGGGAGAGTCAGAATAAGCCTGTATCGACTTACTGGTCGTACTAATGGGACTATAAAATCGAAGGAGGATTTGGGACTTGGTCAGACCACTTGAAGATATTGCCAGCCTACGACTTGCGGACATTCTAAAAACGACAAGTTTAGACGAAGAGTTGGCCTGTCTCAGATGAAGCAAGGTGGCGGGAGATGTAATGGACGAGGTAGCTTACGTCCCAAGCAACTTCAACGAAGGCTGCCGAATCTTTGGTACCCACGTCGCACATATACCTAAAGACCTCTTAAAGATTGGCTTCTCAATCAGCCGCTTTGAAAATGTCACCTATATTGCAGGCGTACGTATGATCACTGAAAGAGGTCCTAATATATGTCTTGGGTTTATATCTAAGGACAATGAAGTTGTCAAGGAAGTTATATTACTAAGAGGGTTTATCCTAGCGGTGGGCTCAAGAGCCTTCCATGCCCTCAGTCAAGACGCAAGCCCGTCAGAGTGAGTTGGGTGCCCAAACAAATCGCCTATAATAGAGCGCCTCGCCCACTTCAATTTCATCGCTGCCTTAGAAATAAGCTTTGATGTTAGCGTATAATTCCATTAATTGTATATTGTTCCGCTAGTATCTATGCAACCATATAGGGATTTAAAGTAATCAGCTTTGAACTTCTAAGGGAAGCCTCGCCTTCTATCATGCCGCTAAACGAGCAGGGCTCGTCATTGGGAAAAACAGCCTTATGGTACCCTACAGTGCCTGAGCCCAAGTTATTTCAGACCGAAGTGTCATTTACGAGTAAAAAGTCCATCTAGTACTGGATACCGACCAGTATTCTGGATTCATTTCGGCGGCCCTGGTGACAGCTACCTCGAAAGTTTAACCGGTGTCTCTATCTCCTATAGTAGAAAGGTTCTATACAGTCTGGAATTCCATTACGCCGCCACCTATGACCTCACTGGGGCGTTTAGGCTTGGTCGTTGCGCATCTACCGATTTGACAATTCGACACTTCCCAATTGATGGCGCTAGCGGTGAAATTATTGACTCTATAGAGGTCACCTTGTCCGTTATAATACACAAAAGGCTCATATTTCCTTGAAGCATGGGACATTGGACTCTGTCAAGGTGAGTTACTTCTCTTATCTTTAAAGAGTAATTTGGTGGTGTCATTGTCTACTTGCTCATGTAGTACGTTCAAGATGACGACTAATCGCCAACGGTCCGTCCATGTTGGCGCCTCATCAGATGATATTATTTCGAAATATTTGGTGATTGCAGCTGGAACTACCCTGACGGGGTTTTGTGCGACCCAGGTAGGTAAAGACTACCGCAAAAATGTCTTTTGCTGACAAGAGACTGGAGCATTTGGGAGTATAATCTTATTAGTTTGGGCGTAGTTTCAGAAACTATCGGAAGACCTAATAGTTAGAAGAGTGAGGAGTTAATTATTTTTGAATCTAATATCCACCTACACTAAACTTCCTTCCTTATATCCGACTCAGCCTCAACAATTCTTTGGGATCAAGCAAACCCAGTGTTCTATCACCTTCAACACCACACTAATATCATTTGGCAACCGCTTCCCCCTTCTAATTATCAGTAGGAAGATGGGATGGATCTACGACAAGACCGTCCCATACCTCTTCCCCAACGTTTCCACAGCTGACAGCTGAAAATAGCTCGTAAAATTCGTCGGCCTCGGGCCCGACATCACACCACCACCAGCGATATATACCCTGTTACCAATGGCAACTCCAGCCGTCCCATGCCTTGGCACATCCATATTCAAATAATCCGTCCAACTATCCGTCACTGTATCATACGCCTGAGTCTGCGGAAACACACCCGTTGTAGTGACCTGATCCCCCTCTCCCCCAAAAGTAAAGATCTGCTGCCCAATAACACCAGAAGAACACCCAGCGCGCCCCGTAGGCATACTCGCTAGCCCTGTGCTCCAGCTTCCCTTGTCGAAGTCGTAGGAGAAAACCGTATCTTTGGTGTTATTCTGCTGGTAAGCTCGACCACCCAGGACGTACAGCTTTTCGGCGACTAAACCAACACCAGCGTGATCTCTCGGCTCCGGCATATCTGGCAAAAAGGAGAACTGCTTGGTTATGACGTTGTAGGATGTGAAGAGGGAGCTTGTGCCCTCGGCGCCAATGATGAGGCTGAGGTTCGTCTGGCCGCCTGCAAGATATATAGTTGAGCCTCTGACAGCAACCGCAGCACTGCCGATTTCACGACCCGCTGGCAGGTCACAGATTCTCGTCCATCTATTGACCTTGGGATCGTATTCGAAAGATGCTCTTGTTGCGTTCCAGAGAAAGGTGTCGTTTGTAGTGGTTAGACCGCCGAGAACGTAGATTTTCCCATTTACTACTGCGGAGTTGGCATGATTGAGTGGCATGGGCAAGTCAGCGACGATGACCCAGGTATCGCTTGAGATGGTGTATCTTTGGGCTGTGGTGACGGTTGGATAGCCGCCGTTGGTGAGTGGGTAGGTTCCTCCAAGAATGTAGATGGTGTCATTGTCGAATTTGACACTGGAGTGTTCTTGCCGTGGCTCTATGGTTATTGGAGCCACCGCCGTCCATGATCCAGCTACGATGGTGGAATTTTGAAGAGGTTTGGTTGCGGTACTGGAAATCAGTCCTGTGAGAAGGAAGATGGGGGATATAGTGTGGAGAAGAAGCATAGTAGGATTGTATGAGGATATGCGGTACTATACTTTGAGAGAAAAGCGGTTGAGAAGGCCATTGATTCTAGGTGGCGTTGAAGTGGTATAAGTACTATAGACCAAGATATCCTGGAGAGTAGCCTAATTGGTCTATGTAGTCAGAATGTCTTATCATTTAGCATATCCCAGTGACGAATACAAATGAAATACTGTCTGGTGCAAGGTTCCTGTACGCAATACCTGTACTCTGAGATGAAAACATGCCAAATTCGGACTAGCTCCAGCTGTAAGAGGTATTTCTGGCACCTCTTCAACCTATTATACAAGCCTGTAGCTTGTCCAATAATAGGCTAATCAATCCTACATGTGCTCTTTGCTTTGCATAGCCGAAGACTAAGTCTCCTGACTCTTGCGGTCCTTCCGGGTTCAAATGACATCTCCATGCTACCCCGTTTTGCCTTCCCTTTCCCACAAAGACTAAATCCGTGAAGTCCGCGGTACTAAATAGAGATACTGGGAAATCAACCACATGGCCCATTTAAATACAGAAACTTTCCTCTGAACGACACGTATAAACCTTGTCTGACGCGTATTATGAAAGCAGTGCAGAACAAGCGGAAAAGCTGAACCATAGCCGGAGTATGTTGGCATGCACTTACTCGTCGGTGTAATATCGCTTGCCTATAACTCCCTTCCCCTGGCTCTAAGCGAATAACACCGCGATGTCCGATGCGTAACTCCAGAATCATCAAAGACGAGCAGTATAGATCTGATGAATGTTCCGGGAGGCGCCACACATGGAAATCATATAACATGCCGCGTAACATCTAGGAAGCTTTGACAAATTGTCTTTGCTACTATAGAAATGCGTTCGTCGGGCCTAGTCAATACGCCGAGTACCGAGACGTGGAATATATAAAGTCATCGCTAACCGAGAGGTGGCGCTAAGCCTATTGTGAATATAAAACACTCTATTTATAGTTTTCTTAACAAATAATACAATAGATTTAAAGTCAAGAAGTACGAATCATTATGACAGAAAATTTACTGCCCGGCGACAGCGATTTTGGCAACTATAGCTATTCTCGAATATCAAATCCCTAACTTCAGATCTTGGTCGACCCCTAATGACCTCTGCTAATATCTCTTTTCCATCTTTCTCTTGGATAAGAACGTTATCGAGTTCGTATGCGTGCTGACGACCCTGAACCTCGTATATCATGTCATCGGGTAATTCTAACAATATCATGTTCTTGTCGGTTCAGAATCCGCCTCTGCGTCAACCTCTTATATCTTCTGAATACGAAGTACCCAAAGAGTAATAAAAGCCAGGGGAAGCGCAATAAACGCTAATACCACACCAATCAATTTTGTATGACTAAAATGAGTTCGCGGTTGATCTATTTTGAGGGAATGCAGAGGAAATATGGGGGTTATCTTCTGGGTCGTATTTTGAGGGAATACGGCTTAAGCGACCGTGAAATCTGACCGTTTGTAGTCGACCACTAGGTAACTGATATACTTTAGTAAAGGTGATATAGAGATAAATGAAGACTGCTCTTACTTACGATTCTTGTAAGAACGTCCTCCCCATTGTATATTGTGATGCATTCGCGGCCCTCCGGAGAGGAAAATAATTCGTGGCAGTGGGGTAGATGGGATAGCTTGCCTCAAGATCAAAAGCCGCATAAGGCAAGACGATATTGACACTTGAACCACCCGAGATTTCTGCTCCAAGTTTGAAGTTCATACTAGAATTCAGCTGGAAGAGTTGAGAGTGAATAGTATCATTCACGTGGTAACGGTCAGTGCTACTATCAAGGTAAAGACCTAAACGTGTCCGGAATCAGCAAATGATATTCCTCTGAAATAGTTCTCTCCGATTTGAGCCTTCTAGTATCGCTAAAGTAATAAACAGCAATAAGGAATCTCTTGGGGCCTTGGAGATAATATAGACATTAGAACTGTGGATTTAGAGGGTTCTCTTACCAAATGCTGTTTTGAAAGCTTTGCATTCTGGAATAGGGTGCCAAATCTCAGGAACAATAAGTCAAAGAAAATTCCTTGCGCAAGAATGGAGATTATCATTTGCGATGTATTATCCGCCTGAATGGACTAGAGTCCCACGACTAGACTTCGAGAGTCATCCGGACCTAAAGGAATTACAGCCAATTTGTTGGAATTGAATCGTGGTGCATCATAGCCACCAAGGACTAGATTTGCACCTACTCCTTTCCCAACATATGACGCTCCTGCAGAGTAGCCATATGAAAGGCTTGGTATCATACTCTGATTATGCAGTGACTATAAAAAGCTCGGCCGTGGATCGTTAAAGTAAGAAAGGTTGGTTGGTTTTGGCCCTAAACCTAATATTCCGGAAATGAAGTCATTGGTAACAAATCCTAGACTCTCGTTGGAGGATAATTAGAGCTTCGATACGACTAGCAAGACTTTGATGTCTTGTTGTTGTGGGTCTGCGGGGAAAAATCAGTTCTTGTAAAAACCAACGATGGGAAGGTAATAAATGTTTGAGGAACCTATTTCTGGACCACCCTTACGTCGAGATTACACTAAGCCAAGGCTTTTAAAGGTGAAGTTGAATCACTTCCGAATTCTCCGCAGTAATGCTAATTTATTTCAAGTTAATATCTTTATCCTCTGAATTATTCCAAGCTTCAGGAACCCGACCCTCCCCGTTGGAACACCCATGTACTCGCCACGTTCTCGCTTAATCTCGCTCCTGTTTCAGGGGCTACCAGGTCTACGCTAAAGCTCGGACACACCCACACCTTCTTTACAACCTATATAGGCATTTATGGAATCATTAGAAACTAGACTGAGAACTTGAATTTAAACGCGAGAAAAGTAAGATACCTAGGTGATAGGCTAATTAAAAACAGCTCATGAAAATCCCTAAATTTATATAGAGCAAGCTTTCGGAAACCTGATAACTTTGACCCGAAATCCTTTCACCCCCCCTCTTCGCTTACCCCACCACAAGGCAACGGCAACGCACAGCGATTAGTACCCTACAAAGTTGGCAACTTTATATATCAGTGACGGAAGAATTTCTAAGAAAGTAACAATGCACAAATCACCTCATCCTTAACCATTAGCTCCATTAAAAACTAAAGACCCCAAAGAAACACCTCGAACCCACATCAGTCCTCGCAACCATACCGATAGAAGAAATGACAGTACTCAACAAATTCATCCTCTCCTACCAAAGGTCAATCAATTCAAAACAAGCGTGCAGCAACTACAAAGCTTGTTTAGCACTTGTGAAACGGCCCCGAATCCTTTACAGGGGTTCTGATTGGTCAAAAGGGGAAGGATCGATGGCAAGGTATTTCTGGCGAAATCCTGACGAGATATGCAGTTCTTATACCACAAGTATGATCCTGCATGGATGGAAAAGCCTCCACAACTGCGCAGTCAGTCTGCGTCTCGGCCTCATGTTGAAAGCCCCATCCGCCCCCAGGTTACAGTGGGATCTATGGGGAGCGCGAACGAATCTGCTTATGCAAGGTTCAGACGGACGGAGGCCCATTAATCTATGAACCCCCCATTCTACGCATCTATCCCTTCTCTCGTTTATCTTCACAAGCGATGAACTGTACGACGAAGAATGCTTTTGAATTTCTGCCTCATTAATATCAATACCTTGATATTAGGAACATCATCATGACGACCACTCGACTCCCTGAGCTAAACAATGGTATCGTAACAGACTGGAGGCCCCTCACAACACAAGCAGCCTTGGCTCCCTACCCAGCGAGCTGCAACAGTGCCTTCCGATTAGAGACTATCTCGGGCAGTGTTACGAATATCGTAGCCTACGATCCGTGGTATGGCCAAGCGATCGATACGAGATATCAAGGCTGTCTGGCGTCGGAACAGACGCAATGGTGGGCGCAGGAGTTGATGCCGACGACGATGTTGAGTTTGGGTCCGTTCGCATGTCCGACGCCGTATACGACAGCCACAACTAGTGTGGTTGGTTTGGGGACGACGATGGTCGCGTGCTGCCCGAGGTTTGTAGCCATTTCCTCTCTATAAAGGCTGTGTCATCCATAAAATACCTGCTTATGTTGTGGCTAGTGATTATAAGTATCAAAACCAAATTTTGGCTCCTCTCAATGGACGGCAATGTCTTTCCGCGCTGAGCAGCGGCCAAGTCATCACGGCAAAAACAGGGACCATTGGTGCGAATAATTGGACTGATACGACGGCTACTATTACCGCGACAGATGTTGGTGTATGGGGCAACCAACTCAATGGCTTTGTATTTGCGGATGCGGTAGTCACTGCTTCAGGAGAACCAAGCCAGACGAGTTCGGATTCTGTGGCTTCGACGCCAGCTATGACGGGGACACCGAGTCAGATCACCGCCAACTCAGCTCGTCACTCCACTTCCTCTTCTGCTTCCTCTTCTGCTTCCGCCTCGTCGTCGATTCTTAGTACAACAGGTGGAAAAATTGGGATATACGTAGGAGTACCGCTTGGAGCGGTCATTTTATGCTGTTTTATCGGCATTATACTGCTGTATAGAAGAAGAGCATCACGGCTAGACAAACAATTCGCGGAGTTGGAAGGAAGAGATATATCAGCGCCGATAATACTGCAAGGGCCGCCACCTCCTAGACCGCCTCCGCCGACAGAGCTCTGGAGTGCACATGAGAAGGAAACGGGACGCAGTAGACATGAAATGGAGACTTGGGAGAGGCCAGTGGAGATGTGGGCAGGAGGGATAAAGAATTAAGCCTTATATCCAAGATGTTAAGCGGTTGGCGACTGGTTCGGCTTCCGCGATGCTCGGTTGGACAGTTTGGGGAGTATATATCTTGTATTGGTACAACCGAGACCTCTTCTTATACAGTAATCTTATACCTACTTTTATTTGTTATATTCGTAGGGAAATATTTCGTGAGAACTTTCGTAGCTTAATATGTGGTTTATGTGGTGGTTAAACAAGGTCGAGACTCAGAGAAGAAGGAAATGCTTGGAGTACGAGTCGGAGATAATACACCTTTTGGATTTAGTACTTGCTTTTCAGCATTTCAACACAGTTTGATTATATTGCCAATTAACAAAGTTAATTTGGTTTATCAGATCAGTAATCAAGCTCCTCGAAATTCTTTATTACGCGTTAAAGATGACTCTTTGCGTACGCGTTAGTGATCAGAAATCGAAGATGCCTCCTCCAGGTTCAAGAAATCAGACAATTCTAGATGCAATGGCAGAACTCATGGATAACAACACAGTAAGACCCATGTCCGAACACTCGATAACACTATGGGAAAGAATCTCCCCATTTTAGATTGCTGCGCGACCTTGAAGGCTACATCACGGAAGCACTCAAGACCATAGCTTTGCGAAGAGAACGAGATGGAACTAGATCTATATGGAACTTAGAACCACTTTCGAATATCATAACATCATTTCCAGCTCCCAGGATCTCACCACGGAGTACGACGTACGGAAGACGAAGAAAAATTGGACCATTGCACTGCGACGTGGATATGAAAGTGATGATCGAATGGATGAAAATGCCGACGAGGAATCGCAGGATGACGAACCTCAATTTAGAATTCTCTAAATAAAAGTTTAATAGTATAATATAATTAAATAATGTTTTACCCGCATTTATTTAGCAAATTCATTTCACCTCTTAGATGTGGTGGATGTGACACCCAATCAACGCGAAGTATTAAAAGCACAAGTAACAAAGCTTAATCCTTTTGTAAGACTCTACACCTCTAGGGGGCATTAATAGAATGTTGTATATCTGTTTGATGTTTCGCAGTATTCTTAGTCTTAGAATTATATTATGACATATCTCAAGCTGAACTTAAGCAAGTGCTGGGGATCTAAAGCGGCCTCACGCTATTAATCTATTTACCAGTCTTCTACACCCTACACTGCCTATTCCGTGTCTTTCTTTTAAAATTAGAATCTTTTATCTGCAGTCCTAATATTCCACTATCTCGTATATAACATGTCCTATTCCTTCTTCACTCTGCTGTCGACAGCAATGCATAGTAACAGTGCGCTGCGCCGACTCTATCGTGGTGTTTAATATTGACAACCTCGCACTCCTGGGAATATCTGCACTTCTCTGCACATTCTGGCAACCGATCTCCTCCATAGTCATAATTCGTTCAGCGATACTGCCCAATACATCTCTATGCCAGATGCCCTCCTGCCTCGGCCCTAGGCGCAGCAGGTGTAGTGCCTGACGTCTTAGCGATGGATCACGACAGCGTGAAGCGAGGAAGTAAAGATTCGGTATGATGCCCATTTCGAAGGCTGGAAACAGTGGTGGTTCCGAGTCTGTATAATGTCCATCGTTACTACACAAGAGCTGAGTGGCAAGAGTAACGATCTGAGAAAAGCTTTGATCAAATGAATCGAAAACAATTTCGTCGATGACGGGCATTGTTGCAGCTATGATGCTGCCTGTGATCTGTTGAATCTCGAGAAAGGTTGCTGCCTTCCTCTCTCCAGGGGATAGTGTCCCAATTTGCTCCTCTATGAACCTTTTGTAGGCCAATGCCCATTTTGCGAAAGGGTCATGCTGGGATATGGAGTCCATTGAAATCTCTTCGCAGCTGTTATCCAAGCCTTGGAATTTAGACGCTAACATCCCATGGAAGAGGGAACCCATGCACCCGTCTAGATTATCTCTTGCTTCCTCAAGAGAGCAGAAGACAAAAGGTATTGATGGTAACTCTGGTGTGAAGGAAGGTATGACGAACTTCCACTCTTGGGGCTTAGTCTGGACAAATAAGATGGTTTGCAGCATCATCCTCCCGAAAAGGCGTTGAAGCTGGACTTCAATCGAGCTAGGGTGGTTTTGGGGTAATCTTTCGCGACGATTCGAATGCCAATTGAAATACATATATATTCCACTTGACATATGACTTAAAGCTTCCTCGTTGTGGCTCTGGAACATCTCATAGCAGATGAACAGCGCACAGGTGATGAGTATGACCTCCATAGACGAGCCATCATTTTCATCAATCTTCTTCCGCAAGTTTGATATTGCTTTGCTGTATTGTTGGATAGCGAAGGGTTCGGGAGGCGGTCTACTAGAACCAGGAGCCGTGTCAAGTAAGGTTTCTGACAACGAAGCCAAAGCCACAATAGCATGGCGTACTGGTTCTTCATGCTGGGCAACTCGAAGGACATCGAGAGTCCAGAAACTGGAGTCAAAAAACCCGCCGAGGTTTGTAGCAACTTTGTTGCGGAAGAAATGAAATGCTCGAGACTCCTCGTTAGAGTGGTGTGGGGTTGGAGAGATGCGTTGGATGGATACATCATTTGGACGCCAGAGCACCACTTTCAGGGGATCCGGATCTCGATTAGGTGAATACTCGCACTGACGGGAACTTTTGCAGCAAGGGGTGCATATTGGCTGCTTCTCATCGCACTTCACTCGTCTGGATTTGCAGGTACTGCAGCCGCTTCTACTCTTCGGGGCCCATTTTCGTTTGGCAGCATTGGGGTCGGACATATTTCAAGAACTAGCAAGCTGGGACTAAGTCGAAGTGCAGTGCGTCTTCTTCACTTTTCGCCTTTTGGATACCAAGGCTTTCTACTAGAGATTGGGGGTTTTATGGGGATGGTTTTAAATGCGTATGAAAAGTATCTTTCAAGTGTTGAAAGTAGACTTCCGGGTTGCTTTGTAATGAGGTTCTGCTTCGTAAGATCATTGGTGCCCGGTTCGCCTGCGCCGCCGGTCTTGGCATCCCGATTAGGAAGATTTTCGTACAGAAGGATTATAGTAACTAATGCGTCCAAGCCCACACACTTTAGTCCCGATACTTTCTACAACTACTGCACGTGCCGATATTATTCTTAATTCTGAGCCGCAGTAGAGTTAAAACATCAGCGTCAAGATAATTCATCACAAAATCAGGGCTCATGGTCAGCATATACGAACATACTAATCGCAGACCTGGTAGTATATTCTCTAGTAGTGGAAGAGATGACGAGAAGAGCAGAGGTATACTAAATATGTATAAGAGAAATGGCAAATAAGCTTTTGTAAACCCTCATCTAGCATCCTTGATCTACGATTAATATCCTTATTAGAACTCGCAGCGGCCTTAACCATCATGCTCTTTTCCAACTCCCTCCTTGCTTGTGTGTTCTTTACAACATGCACTGCTTCACCAAAGCCTCCAAATCAGATCCGGCTTCCCAAACCTGGTGGAAAATATGAAGTAGGCCTCAGCATCACCGAGCTGACTGACCACAATCGAACCCAACCGTTTGCACCAAATGGCACACTTGTACAGCTGATGATCTCGGTATTCTACCCCGTCACTCACAAGCATCATGCTATTACTAGGGCATACATGACCCCAGAGACTGCTTTAATCGAAGACATCACGCTCAGCTCGCAGGGCTTAGCAGCGCCGAATGGGACGTTCGGCAAAGTCGTTCTCCAGCTGGCCAGCGATCAAAACATCCAGAGCCGAAAGGACAAAAGCTCACGTGCATTTCCACTGGTTTTTTTCATGCCTGGCGAGGGCACTACTCGCCTTTTCTACAACCAAATTGCATCCACCGTAGCCAGTAAAGGTTACATAGTCGTGACCATAGACGCTCCTTACGATGTGGACGTTGTGCAATATAGCGATGGCTCGTTTGCCTACATCAACCAAACATTATGGGCGAACGACAATTCTGATCTTGCCAGTGTAGCCCTCCTTGCCATTCAGACCCGCATGGCAGATGTCAGTTTTGTGCTTGACTCCCTATCCGGCACGACTCTTGCACACTCACTCGTCCCCAACTTGCCTGAATCCGGGTTGAACACCACACACACAGCCATGTTTGGACACTCCCTTGGCGACTGCACAGCGTACTCCATTCTGGACGTGGAAGACCGTATCTTGGGAGGGTTGACCATGGACGGCGACCTCGATGGCCCGCCTCTACTCAACGGGACTTCCAAACCATTCATGTTCATTGGGAGCACCAACCACACGCGCGAGAATGCCGACGACGACCCCGGCTCTACGTGGTTGTCTGGATGGCCGCAATTGTTGGGGTGGAAGAAATATGCCATGGTTGCAGACACTATGCATTACGATTTCAGCGACTACCCGATTCTGTTTGAGACACTTGGTATTACACCGACTAATGGCACCACCTTTTTGATGGGCGATCTAAAGGGAAAGCGGGCATTGGAGATCGTGACAACTTATGTGGGGGCATTTTTGGACTTTGTGCTTCTGGGGAAGGACTCTCGGCTTTTGGACGGCCCTGTGAAACAGTTTCCAGAAGTCACTTTTGAGAATTGAAGTAACATTCTTTGATTGTGGCATTTGAGTTAGAATGGGGTTTCAGGAGAAAGAATGGCAGGCGAAACTTTATAGCGCATTATTGTTATTCAGACCATGGCTCACATAGAAGCGTGTTTCTTTGTATTTAAATGCATGTATTTTAAAGTTTACTGATACTCTTTAGTATAAAGTAGATTGATTATAGATTAATTAGTTTTCAGCATAAGGATAATTAGGCCGGATACTGCTTTTGCGAATATAACTATGAAACCAAACCTTACTTAAGCAACTCAAATATCCTTGAGTCGAGTCAAATTAGTTTCTTTCGCACTATAATCTATAAGCCTCTTATTAAATCCTATAAATACTCAAATCGACTTAAGTTAAGTAAAGTTTATAACTACACTTGACTTTTAACCTAACTCAACTCATTTCGCGCACTGGCTCTTGCTAAAGATATAGAAGAAATGCAATCTTTGATTCTAGTCTATGTATATAGTATAGATCAGAAGATAAAAACAAAGCAATGGTATATGTATACTAACTTGAAGAAAAGTGAACCCCGACTTCGTCCAAGCGTCTGTAGCACAGAATAATGCAAAGAATAGCCAATATAACTTAGTTGAACAAGAAACATATTGGAAAAGTTTGAGCTGTATATAAGGGGATCAAAGATCGCAAAAGAGACAGCAAAGATCAAAGTACGCCCTTCCTGAGGATATACTTGTACCCCTTTATCCCTGTGCCCCTTTACCCAGTAACTGAATACGGAGTACGGCCATTTGATCCCTTGGGCGTAGGCTCAGGGTATACCTGGTCGCTACATTGCGCACCACAGGCCACCAGCTCGTTGATCGGGTACGTGAAGCTGAAGTCCATCTTCCCGCTCACGTAATTCTTGTTCTTGTTCGGTGTATTTTGTTGCACGCCATTTCCTGGGCCTACGCACACATGGGAAACTAAAATAGGGAAGAGACTTAAATTAGTGGGGAGTCATAGGTCGGACTAATGGATGAATGGATGGACGGATATTGAGGTAGGTATAGGGTTGTGCGAGGGAGTGGGAGTGGGAGACAAATTATAGCCGTAGATTTTGAGGTTGCGTTGTGCGAACCAGAAATATATTATGCTAATAAGAATATAATATCTATCACGCTATGATAGTATATGACAGATATATATAATGATATTATGCATCCGTAACAGATACGCATTCCTGTCAAGGGTCCTGTGAGAATAATCCGATGTGAAGGTTGAAGGTGTGGCTGCATCATAAAGAGTGTGGCAGGAGCTAGGCTAGTTACCCTTATTTTCGTACGTGCTTGAGACCTAACAGTGTCTAGTCTAGACTCTAGGTACGGGTACGCACCCCTGTCAAAGGTCTGAGCTTTAAAAAACATTTCAACCTCTTGTTCTATCATACCACAAGCACCACAAGGTAATCAATAATGCGATTCAAGCAATGCCCCGACCATTCCCCTTCCCAATTAGCGTCGGAACTGATATATGTTCGATACCCCGTATTCGCCATTTACTATTCAAACACTCATATGAACGATTCTTCCAGAAGGTCCTGACTCCTAAAGAGTTCGAAATCCATTGGCCCAGATTCCAAAACATATTACGTGGTATGAAGAGTAAGAACAGGGTTCTTACGACTCTTTCTGAGCATCCCTTTTCCCGTCACCTAGCTGCTAAGCGCAAACAGTTGGGTTTACAATCTTTGTGGCCGTCAAGGGATTCGGTGGCCATCAAAGAAGGAACCGATGCGGAGCCGATGCGAGTGGGGGATGTCCATATCTTAAGGATGTTGAATATCCTCGAAGAAAACATAAGAATCACTCTAAACTTGGCAGCTGCAGATATCAACAAATGCACTAGTTTTCTTGCCGGCAGGTACGTTGGTTGGTTGACAATGCCTCTCTTATCCCGAGCTGTTACCGTTCGGATTGTTTTACCCGCATTCGCTGATAACTTAGCAGATGGGCAGCCAAAGAAGCCATCATCAAGGCACACCATTCCCGTCGATTGACCTTCCACGACATCGAAATCCGACCAGGCCGTAGTCTCTCAGAAAGCAGTTCCAGCCCTCCAGTGGCGGTCATAATATCAGAGTCTGGTGATTGGGACGATGGGCAGATTGTACCCATCAGTATCAGTCATGACGGAGATTATGCCATCGCTACATGCATGGCATATGAGCCATCTCCGGGGGCAGTATTTGAGACAGCCAATGACGTTCATGAGGCATTGGGTGGGGTGAATGCCGACATAAACACAAGGTCTGAGGAGATTACGCATAGCGGCAGCAATTCAGCGACTCGACAAAGGGATCGTCGAGAAAGGGATCCTACATGCATGGCATATGAGCCATCTCCAGGGGCAGTATTCGAGACAGCCGATGACGTTCATAAGGCATTGGTTGGAATGAATGCCGACATAAAAACAAGGACGCGACGAAGGGCGAGACATACCTCCTTTAGGAGCATTTTCCGGCCTCAAGATATCCTGGATGAGAAGATAAAAACAAGGACTCGACGAAGGGCGAGACATACCTCCTTTAGGAGCATTTTCCGGCCTCAAGATATCCTGGATGAGAAGTACATGCCCTCAAGTAAGTCCCATCCGGAGCCAGACCGGGGGATGAATGCCGACACAAGCACAAGGTCTGAGGAGAATACGCGTAGCGGTAGCATTTCAGCGACTCGACAAATGCGACAAGAAGATAATCGTCGAGAATGGGCTCGTCGAAAACGGGTGATATATACCTACTATAGGAGCATGTTACCGCCTCAGAAAAGCCTGGATGAGAAGTACATGCACTCAAGTACCCATCCAGAGCCAGAACCGGAGTCACATCTCCGCGACGCTTTAGAATCATTTGGTGCCCCTTCGAAACTCTTCGACATCTTGAAATCTTCTGGTTTCATACCAAAATCCCCAGGAGCAGCAAGTCCTTTGGCTGAACAGAAGCATGTGCTATACAGGGGTAGGAGAGTATTGCCATTCCGGGAAAGTAGGAAAACGTGGTGGCCCCCAAAGAGCCTCAGGGCTGATAGACCAAAGCGAGATGAACGAGGAGATGGTGCATATTTCTCAGCAAACAATGGCACCAGATAAGAAAGACTGGTGACGGTACAACAGATGGCGGTGTCCTCGGAAGCGCAGACACTGCAACATCTGCAACGAGCGATGGCTACATGACGTGTAATGGTAAATTAGGTTTGGACTCAATTCGATTCTAGAAAGTCCTGGACAGTAACTTTGTATTATTTGTACACTACAAGGGAAAGGTGTTTATCTATACCCTTCAATATTATTATCACTACGATGAGTCGATTACATGTAAAGCAATATTCTATTCCCGATCAATTAATTAATTTTCTTTGAAGGAGCTGACTAACAGTTAACCATCCAGAGGACGGTGAAAGATTCTACCAACACAATGCCCAAGGTAGCATACCATCCACCCGAGTATCACTGCCCCAGATTATCACCCAACATCTCCAACAACTTCGACACCCAATTCTCACTCCCTCCCTCCACCAACGAGCTCTCCTCCTCGACGCTCTTCGCTTTCCACGCCGCCAGTTCCCGCTCCACCTCTTCCAATCGCCTCACCGCTTCCTCCCTCTCCTTAATCTCAATCGCCAGCCGCAGTTTCTCTTCCAGCAGCCGCCGCTTCTGCATATTAGCGTGCCGCAGCGCTGTGCATCGTTTTCTCACCTCTGGGTCGGTGACGGTGTTGTTGTAAGAGGCGAGGGTGTCTATGGATGTGTTGATGCTTTGGAGGTTGAGGAGTTTTGCGCGGAGTTGGGCGATGGAGTGGTTAGGAAACATGCTGGGTGGGTGGCTGATTGATTAGTGGATGGTGTTGGTAGGTGAGTTTCGTGGGAAAGTTTTAATGTGATGTGAGGTGATGTGATGGTTCTTTGAGTATGTATGGATCCGCTAGGTGTTATATGTTATTATCTTCCTCCTTTGTTCCCCTTGAAAACCATTGTTGCGTGTGAACAGAGGGATTGTTCAGCTAGCGAACAATGGAGGGACTTTGCTAGAAATTCGATCCAGGACAATGAAGTGAACTTTGGCTTTGTGGGCTCGTTTTGCTGGATATTTCCTTGTATGTCACGTTGCTTTTCTTCAGACACAGAGTCTTATGTCTTGCTTGCTTTCTTTGAGATTAAACATTCTTCCTGCTGTCTAACGTTATTTAGATATTAGATCCTTCTCTCCATGTCATGAATGAGAAGCCATTAGTCAAGATGTTGGAAACAGAAAACACAACAAGGCGTATTCGAATTTGACACCATAGTTCTTGTTCAAGTGGACTGAACAGCTTTAGAAGAAAAGCTATCTAAGTCGAGTATATTTCTCTACAACCTTCACCAACTCACACACCACTCCATCCAAGCCAGCTCACGAAGTCTCCATCTTCAAAATCCTCCATCCACAGCCCTCGTCGTCGTCGCGAACAATCAAACAGACATCCATCCAAAATGTCCGCTTCAACCACAACCTCAAACTCCAACATCATGCACCGCGCAGCCTCCTTGGCAGCAAACCCCCGTCTACTAAATAAGCGCACATACTCCATTTTAGTCCCCAACTCCACCAACTACACCGAGTATTTGCATCGCTCAGCCACCCACACAGCGACCCTTTCCTCAGCCACGGCCCGCTTAGAAACCCCCTACGGGGATCTGCGAAACAAGCGCAGGAACTCCATATCCGCACCTAACCCCATGAGCTACACTCCAACGTTATGCTGCTCTCCCCCTCCTTCTCCCTCTCTTCCCCCCACCCCCCCGTCCTCTCCTACCGCAATCCTCTCCTACCGCGCACGCATCAAGGCGTACCGCGCCGAAGGCTCGACGCTGCGCCGCCATATGCGCGGCGTGCTCGCGAAGTCGCAGATAAACATGAGACGGGCAGAGAGGCTGGAACTAGCACGCAAGGGGATTCAAGAAGCAGAAGCAAAAGCAGATCCAGCAGCAACCGCGCACGCGCACTCGCACTCGCACTCGAAGCGGAAACTCGCAATCCTGTCCCAGATTGCCGGAAACCGCAAGTGGCGCGCCTGTATCGATGGACAGATTACGGAGATCGTAGCAAGCTCGAAGGAGAACCTCGCAGCGTGCAAGGAGCTTGGGAGGGAGATAGATGGCGATATAGCTCGCGCAGATCTCGTTAGGGTTGAGGGTGAGAAAGACAGCGAAGACGGACATGAACGCACCGAGAGTGTGGAGTTGGGAGAATGTAAAACTTTGTATGAAGAGATGCTCCGGGCGAGTAGTATGTATGTGCAGATGCTACTTGCAGTCAATCTAGAAACGGATCTATCGAAATCCGATTTCAAGGCTAGATCTGAAGCTGGACCCGAGGCACGTTTACATGGGGATGAATGTGATCTTACTGTGTCTGGCTAAATTGCACTTGGGACGGGAGTTAAGGAGGGGGGATTTACTAAATTGTGAGTTAAAATCTTACTTCTAAAAATTCCCATTGCACTAAATAAAAGAATTGTTCATCTTTCTCTTTCTCTTTCTATTTCTCTTTCTCTACGAACCCTTCTATATACAACATTCTCATCTCAAAACAGTCATTATTTATTCATTTCCTACCTAAACCCCTTTTCCTAAATCCCTTTTCCCCCTTCCTCCTTCCCTATACCATCCATCACCATCCATCACCCTCCATCCCTCCAATCCAACACCCTCCCCTACCCCCCCTTTAATGACCCATAACTTATAAGCAAACCCCCAAAACTACATAATAACAACAACCCCGAATCCCCAAAACGTCTTCCTCAACTAAACTAGTTAGCTAACTAGTTGGCTATCTTTTATAACTTGTTCATAAAACTGCTATGCATCAGAGTAGCTTATCCATACCTTGGGCTACTATACTTGGACTTCTGCAGATCATCTTACGTATACCCGGCCCGGGAATGGAAAGGGGCGAGGCGAAGTGGGGCACTCACTGTTCATGTTAAGGTGGAGTGGTGGGGTGTGGAGTTGGAGCAGTGGGTATTTTGGCTACATGACTACTTAGGTAGGTATTATGGAAGGAAGAAGGGATGCGACTAAGAGTGAAGTTCAGATAAGGGTAGTCTATTTCTGTGGCACTAAGAATAATACAAATACAAACAGGCCTGGGCATGCTGGGCTTACTTGCAACTATGCTCTCGTCACATGTTCACATGCTCACATGCTACTATACAGTGTACACTGGAGTATCGTTTTTGAAATTATATCCGTTGTCATATGAACTACCATCAAAGCAATACTAACCACCACCGTTCCTAACTACACGTATCCCTAAAGCAAATTGATATGAGCCTGAATCAGAGTGGAAAGTCCCAGGTATGTGAATGTTCCTGGCTGAATAAACATCAGAAATCCCAAAATGCAATAACTTTTCGCCTCCAATGCCTCATTTCCACATTTCCATGTCACAACATCATCCCCTTTAATTCATCGTTGAGTTTATCCGTTTATGCATCGTCCAAAAGCGGGGCTCTCTCCTGGTCTGCTGAAACCACAGCACCCTCAGTGTCACGCCTGAAGCTGATTTCTTTGCCGAAAATCCCTGGAACGGCAATGACGAGAGTAGAGAGAAATAGAACAGCCATAACGACAAAGGCAAAGATCCATTGAAGAGCGAATGCTTTAGTGAGGAATTGTCCAACCCCGAGGGATGCAGCCAAAATACTGAGAGCGAAGCCCATAGTGTAGTCCTGTAAAAATGTTAGTGGCAGCGGAGCCATATGATGTTATACTAACCTTGTATGCAACGAGGAAGAAACCCCCATAGACCAGGATCCCCCATATGAAGATGTTGGCCACAATACGAGCTGGCAGATTCTTGGCGCCTACAGCGATGGCACCATTCCAGTACAAAGCAACAAATGTCCACGCAAGTGGTCCAGATGTGGCTGGGATATGGATGAATCGAGGGTGGGTGTTGTGGCGGAAGTATAACGAGGAGAGGTTGAAGAAATTGATAATCAGAAAGATCTCTGACCAGACGAAATAGGAGCGGACGAAGAGCATGACGAAAGCAAAGTTCAACAGGTTGTTGAGAATAAAGTGGCTTCCAACACCAGCAGCAGCCTGAACATAACTATCGTTGTGGGAGAAGAGGTGTCCTAGGTAGCCGACCTGGAAAATGAAGAGGGCGAGCCTAAAAGGATGTTAGGATGCCCGGCTGTTGGGATAAGAGAATTGCATACCAGTAGAGCGAGGCAATCAGAGGATCAAGGGCAAAGGGGGTTGAATATAGAGAATTATGTCCCCAGATGGTGTCCCTATGATGCTTGCCATCTTGAGGCCTGCCAAAAGTGTAGTAGATACTGACGATGGCGCTCAAGAGCCATGAGATGACGGTCAAGATCTTGTATGTCCAGATGGCCTGGGCTGGGTGGGAATCCCGCTTGGCGAAAGGGTTTACTGGGGATTGTTAGAATTGATTGATTGCACCGACTACGGTGTTGATGTGCAGTGAATTAGGGAGACTGGATGGAGTGGCGTTCTTACGTGATGACACTGAAGGCATCGTGTCGATTTGGTGATTACACGAGGTGAGGTATATTGGACGAGGCTGAGTGAGGGGTTGGGAGAGGATGGAGAGAAAAGAAAGAAAGAAAGAGAGAGAAGAAAGAAGAAG